GCTCGCAAAAGTAGCATGATATATAGGATACCATAGTATATTTCTAAACTTATGCCAAAAATATGCTAGTTTTTGTAAATTATTTTACTTAAAACCTGGTAAAAACACCTCAATAACTATGCAACAAACAAGTAAATGACAAACGCATTTACCCTATTTACATCTAGAAATTAAGAGTGCACTAAACATTGTCGGACAACTATAAAAACTCAAGCCATGATTAACCAGCATGCGGACACCATCTCAGCTAACCAAGCTAGTTATGTGCATGCGTTATGTTCAGTGGAAATAGTGCCAGGTCACTTATTGTGCCGGCGACCCTGGTCCAATGCACGAATGTGACCATAAGCAGACAAAAAATTGATTTTGTTACCTAAATTTGCCGGTTACCACTGATCCCTGGCCCGAAAGCTCGGTTGCTTGACTGATCAATAAATGACAATTTTGTGCTGCAAATCTAGCCAAAAGTGCAAATTATGCTAGCAGTGCTTTGTTTGGAAAATAGATTAAAATTGTGCTCGTAATAACGACTTACGCCAAAAATTATGCCAGCACAAACTGTCAAAGCCTAGATAGCGCAGACCCAAAGCTTCCCTTATGTCCACCACCACGACAAAAAAGCAACCCCACAAGACACGAGCCTGGTACCGTAGTCACACGCCTTCTCAATTGGACCACGGGGCCATTCCTGTTCAAGGTTGCTTTAACATTGACAGAATCACAGAAGTCATCAGTATGCTTACAGTGCGACTACTCGAACCGGGGCACTTGGAAGAAGATTGTCCAATCACAACGATTTCTGAAAACAAAAGATTCTCGAGTTATTTTTTTTTGGCGAACGGATCAAGAAAATTCAAAGTACAATTATGCAACCGTTTAAAACTTTAAAATCGTTCCAACTTACCTGACCTCTCGGGAAACAGCTTTCAAATTAATGAATGTATTGGTCCGTTTTCCAGAAATCGTTGTTATTGGACAATCTTTTTCAAGTGCCCCGGTGCGAGTAGTCGCACTGATGGTACTTATAGCAAAAAGTATCTTGCGTTATGGGGTTAAATATTATTTGAAAACGTGCTCTTCGAGTGGGAAAGATCCAGTTGTGTAGGAGCTGCTCGTAAGGTCTCTCCTGATATAATGGTCGTAGAAAACAATGACATGTAATACTTTCAATTGTTTCAAACCTTGTATTTAACAAAGTAGACGAAAATTTTGGCCCTTGAACATGCTCTCTTTTGATAGCTAGGCCGAAAAGGAGGCTTACGTATCCCTCTCCTCACCGTACTACGGATCCGGGAGCCTTTTTCATAGGTCGTTAGGGGGAAAGGGGGAGCGGAGTGAGGGTCATTTTGATTTCCCCAGTAGTTTTATATACCTGTACTACGCTTTACAACAAACCTCTCCTATGGCGAAGAACAATGAGATAAGACTGTAATATGTACTTACTGATCTTATTAAATGATATAGCAAGCGATGGCGCAGTGGTGAGAGCGCTCGCCTCCCACCAGTGTGGCCCGGGTTTAAAACCTGGTGTCGACGCCATATGTAGGTTGAGTTTGTTGTTGGTTCTCTCCCTTGCTCCGAGAGGTTTTTCTCCGGGTGCTCCGGTTTTCCCCTCTCCTGAAAAACCAACATTTCCAAATTCCAATTCGACCTATAATCAGGTAGACGAAGAACCACTTTGTGGATGTGCTACCTCCAAATCATTATTTATTTATTTATGTAGTATAAAACTCTGCTACATGTCCTGGTTGAATTTATTACACAAAGTAATCAGAGGTTAAGTTGGGAGGTGATTCAAATTCACGTTTTTGAATGATTTCTAAGACGAAAGAGCTGCCAGCCCCATTAAACAAATTTTAAACGACCAGATTCCTATATCTCTTATGATCGTGTGTCTCATCGATCAGCATTCATTTCCGGATAGAATTTGTGTTCAAGTGCTTAGTATTACATTCTTCTTCAAATTTTTTTTGGCTCAGTCTCCAATTTTTCCTCACTCGGTTCTTAATCTTACTGTTGCCTCAACAATTTGTCGTTGTCGAGTCTCAAGGAACATGAAGGTAGTCAAAGCGTGAGTCACAGCGGGCAAGGGCCCTTGTTTTCGATTTGCTTGCGTTGCGCGCATGGAATTATCCCCAAGTCCGCTTTTTAAGACTTCCGCTTCCAGTATTATGTGGCCTATGTGACTGCACGAGCCAAAACGGTGCGTAAGAGTCTGATCAATCATTGGTGACTAAAATTCCACATGGTTAAGATGACATGAATACCTAACGCGTTTGTTACTCTGTAAGTACAGTGGTTAGTTTTTGTCATTACTTTTACTTTATGTTGTTGTGTTGTGAGGTGTTTTGTGCGGTGTCTTAATAATCAGTGAAACGGAACAACATTTTGCTAAGAAAATAACAGCTGGACGACAATAATAGACAGCTTGCAATACAAAGCAGCAAAAGGATTCAAGGGTGTCCAGGGTGAAATAATATGCTGTAGTCATGTACAATAAATCATTTTCGGCTCGAGTTGTAGCGAGATTTGGGTTACGGAGTATTTTATATTGTTAGTGAAAGATTTACGTCCACTTATAAAGACGGATAAAGACGGCGAACTCTAATGCCCTTTTCAACAGCTGCTAAGCTGGTTCGACAATAGCACGACCTGGTTTCAAAAGTGGAGTTCACTGATTCAGCCGAATGAAATAACAGTTGCTGAAAACATGAAAAAACAGTTTAGCCAACTTAGAAAATGAACTCTAATGTATAGTTAAATTCTGAATTGAGCTAACTCGGCACGGTAATAGCACTACGTTTGAACCCAAGTCGTGTCATACTGTCGTGTAGCACGGCAACGCACGAAAATAGCACGACTTGTCTTCAATCGAAATTTATTCGTCAACTTAAAGGTTGGTTATGGAAATCTAACTTAGGGCTCCGTTTAAGACAATACATGGAACTCCATATCAGTTTATGAATAAGTTATCTTAAGCAGAATACCACTGATCTTCCTTTATTTATCAGTGTTCTTCTAGTTTACACTCTATGTCCACCGTCATGATCAGCAGTGTTTATACGGTTGTGGTTTAAGTTTAAGTTTTGCTTTACTATTCATACAATAAAAAATCAAATTAAGGTAAAGGATGGCAAAATTGAAAGTCGTTAGAGCGTGATGTTGTTAATTTAAACACTGGCTAAACTCCGTTGACGGGCACTAAAGGTGTAACGGTAGTCAGGTAAACGCGGATCCTTGATAACTCAATCTGAGTTTTTGTTAAAAACTGATTTTACATTTAGATGGCATTCGAAGCTTTTCAGTAGGCCATTTTTAGCATTTACTTCTGCTATAAGAATCCATTTCATTTTCTCTTTCATATTATTATTTAAATTTGGGGTAAATCCCAGTGAAATTTGAATAACAAAGACCGTAATTTGCATAAGAAAGATTATGACAAGAATCCCTTTTCTCGCAGTTTTAGTAAAATGACGTCATTATCCAAGTGGCCTAAGTTCGTGACTAGAACGGATACCATAAGTCCTTAAAAGCAGTTTGGACACCTCATGTTTATCACAGAAAGCAATACTCCTCGTAGAGAACCATTTATGAGAATTCATCGGGCAATTTTTTAAGAAAAGAGAGAGAGAAAATTGTGCACGGAGTACAGTTAGCACCGAGGTACTGTGATAAGGGTTGAGCGCTCTTTTAAAAACGGTTAGCTTTCAAATCAGAATTAATTATTTATTCACTAGTGTACGCTATAAGAATTCTTTCCTGTATTTTGAGTAAAGATAATTTTGGGGTATCCATTCTGACTAGCGGCTGGCGCATCATATACCAAGTGAATTGCAAGTAGTCGAGTTACGTCACGAAAAACACAACAATGATCTGTAGCCCTCTAATAAACTTTACATAATAGATCGACACAACAAAGCATTTATTGACTTTGGTATATCGAGGATCACCCATTCTGGTCACAACCTATTGTGAATATGCAGTCGTAGGTATCAGGAAAACCTAATCTCGTACCCAGATCGGTCAACCCTAAGGACAGAAGCCAGTGAGATCTGGGTAAGAGATCATGTTAACACCCTGTAACCCCGAAACATGCAGTGTCACCCAGAACAGCTCGACTCGTACTTAGGTCCGGATCCCAGGAAAACTAATGTGACATGTATGTGTGAAATATATGTATACTTGAATTTTTGAAAACCGGTGTAGCAAAACAATCAACTCGTTTTCCTACTTGTCAGTTTAAAGCAATGAAAAATCATTCAAAGGCTTTATCTGACGCCAGGCAGTAAGTGAGTGGTTTCTAGTCGCATTTCTTTCACTGAGTCCAAATTTAAAATGACGCAAATTTTAGAACATTTCACTAATTATTTGTTTAGCGACATTTGTCAATGAAATGACTCTTAATGATTTTGATGGCATTTTACCAATTATTAGGTTTTGAATAGCGTTGATAATTTCTTTGTTTTAAGTTGGCATGTTTATGCATTAAGGTTGTCATTAATTTTTAAAAAGTGGCCACATACCATCACGTTCACCTTTCCCTCCCATGATAATTGAAACGCAAATTTCCGTTTAACAGTTATCCGCTCAAGGATAACTTCCGGAAAAGTAGAGTGTTTCTATGACTTCCCTTTTCCGCGTAAAAATGGAAACAGGAAACTTCACTTTGCAGGTTGGGCCGACTTCCTCATATTTATGATTTCACCGCCGTCAATTAGTTTCTAACGAAACTCTCGGGAAGTAAATGAAGTAGTTTTAGAGAAAGAACCGTACAACTAAATCAAAAAGCTCTATTTATGTTCGGTAATACAAAATATCGCATAGTTAGTTTGATTTTACGGTGCAAATATAAGAATTTTAACTCCATGCAAACATCCCCCCTCCTACTTTTTTGTAATTCAATATTTAATTTATTTTGTAATTTTCTTTTATAATGTATGCAGGCGGAGTATTATTTGTTGGCGTCTCCTGGAGCTGCAGGTATCCTGGGTGGAAACCGTTCACCACCGACCCTTGTAACACAACTTAGAAAAAGGGGGAAAACGACCCCTTAATATGCAGTATTTAATACAAGGAGTAGATGTTTTCTTCTTTTCAGAGATGACCACTGATATCGTATTGGAAATTGGATAATTCCACAGTTGCTGCTGGTCCCGATCTACACTCTCTTTTGTTCCAGTCATGCCAATCCCCACTTTACCAAATGCCAGCTTAGCACAGACTAATAGAGGTAACAAGTAGTATGAGAATGGAGGTAGCTAAATGTTAACATTTAGTTTATAACCCATGAAGAGAAGAAAACTACCACAAAATTGCTGGGCGGTCGGGGCGTATTCATTGATGAGACTATCTATAGAGATGAAAGCGAGGGCTAGGGCACTCGAATTCTTGAATGAATATATTTCTCTTGAACGAATAATGTGTTTTTGTTGATTGAATATTGAACAAAATTTGTTGAATGAATTTAGTTTGTTCTTTGAAGTTGAACAAAAATGCAGTTGTTGAATATAAATATTTTTGTTGAACACAAATATGTCCACTTCTTGAATTTTGCAACAAACGACCAACCATAGCCGAGCGCAATGTTATATTATCGCTTCTTTACTTCTTGGACTTCAGTTTTAAGTCTTACACCGTGTGTGCACTTAAACCTACGTTGTAGTTATGATTACTGTATACTTCAATTATGCTAATGCCGCTCGACATTTTGAAGCTCAGTTCTTTCCATGGCGCACGAACTAATTGGACGCCGTAAACAGGTTAAACGAGCGAACTAGAGCTTGGTGGGGCAATTTTGTCATGCAGTGAAACATTTATTGAAGAAGATTGACGATAAAGTTTTCGCATGAACCGTAAAGACAGCTTTACAAATTAGCTGACTAACTGAGAGTGAATCCGGATACGTGTGGACGGCCAAATTCGATTTGAATACGGATACGTGTGGACGTGGAAAAATTGAATCCACAAAGAAAAGTTCGCGGATTCAAAAATACCCGATACGTATGGAGGGGGCTTTAAATAAACTAAATGGTCGCTCTCAAGCATGCTTGAGAGACCACCATGTTAATTAATTACATTAGGTGTTTTATTATTATTAGTTTTAAATAAATAAGATAAACTTAATATTCCTTTTACTTTTAGTATTTGTAACGATAGTTGTAAAACATTGTAATGTAGTTAGTATTAGTTCATAGAAATTTTCATACGGCTATTTGAAAACCAGTTTTGTATGTAGAAAATTACTACCGTGCATAAATACAGTAAATTCGTCCTCATTAATTCATTCAGTTACGGCGAAAGGCCAAACTATTTCTGACGAGTGATGCACCTCCTATATTCATCACTGAAGCCCTTTTCTACTAACCCCTATCCCTTTTGTACACCGCGGTCTTTCCACAACCCTCTAAGTTATTTAGAAGCTGAAAAATGCTTAAGTGCATCTGTCACAAAAAACCGACCACTCATGTATGGGGGCCATGAAATTCGAAATCCTTCATTCTCACGATTTTTTGTGGAATGATAGCATTACATGTACTGATTACACAGAGCATAAAAGTTTGGCAAGCTGCTCTTAATAAGCCAAGAAATTGGGCAGCCTTTTTTCCGTAATCCGAGGACTAAATTTTATCATCAAAAATAACAAAAATGGGGCACATTTCATTCTTTTTTTCTACATAGTTAAAAGAAAATGACATCCTTCCTTGGCAATATATGGAAATGGCGTCGTATATGCTCCAAGGCAATATCATTAAAATCACCTACCATATAAAGGTAAAAAATTCAGAGGTGATCAAAAGTGAATATCAATGTTAATTTTCAGATACCACCATTTTCCACTTTTTTTAAAAATGCCACAACTGTATGTTCCAGTAATTCAGAGGTTTTATTTATATATGGGTTTAAAAGTAGATGGCCCCAGCTTCCGAAAGATACCAAGAACTTAATGGGCAATAGCATATTATGTGTCTCATGAGCTGCGTCTTCTACCTCTATTTTGTAAACTAAAGGAAAAAAGGTGTCTTTTAATGTCTTAACAACTTGTCGTTCTTGAGAGGTTTTAAGAGATTTAAAACATCCTAAACGTTTGAGAAGACGTTTCCTGTCACAATCACATTTTTTGTTGTTGTTTCTATTACTTTTTTTTTGCAGATAATATAAAAAAACTGAGTTTTTGGAATTTATTAGACGAGGGGAAGTGGGGTGGGGGGAAGGCAGAAAGTGTCTCTTTACCTCCAAAAGTACATATGCTATTGAGTAGCAACCTTTTTGAAATGTTAAGTGCCCTGAACCTCTTAAGTTCATTGTAACAACGTTTTAGCCGTGACGTCATATTACGTCACATGACGTCATCAACTTCAAAATCCGCCCTTTCGAAATTTTAGATTGTGACAAAATTTCCAACAACTGGCAAAAAAGGATTAAAAATTAAGAATAAGTCTTAAATAGTTGAGAAATGCAATTGTCGTTGCCATCGTACGTGTCTTAAATGATACTTAACTAGTTGAACTTAACTTTAAGCTGTTTAGACAGAATGTGGCCAAAATAGTCCAGTATCATGTTACATATTTCAGTGCCCTATGGGCTACTTCTTATTGCAAGTACAACTGCTTAACACATTTGTTAAAACATCTTTATACGGAGCTTTACGGCGCTTAAAGTCCTCAGTTTCAATGTCAAGTGAGTCACAGATGTCTTTTAGATCAGCAATGCTAAATTTCTTTGTTAATTTTCCGTCTGCAGCTAACTTGCACAGGTTGTAGGACTTGTAAGTGATGGGATGCTCCAACTGCAGATTGCCGAATACCACCTTCTTTCTAAGTGAAATGTCCTCTTCGTGTTCCTGCATTTGTTCTTCAGCCAAAAATTCTTCTACCTCGTCCGAACTGGCAGCTGCGTTTAAAGAACCGTGTTTCTTCTTTGTTGCTGCAAGACGAGAAAAGTATGCTGCAATCTGTTGAGAACTGAGACATTCACCTCCGACAAATAGACGATTACCCTTATCATCTCGTACTCTGTGCATTTCCCGAGCAACTTGAGTTGGCGATGCCTTATTTCCCGTTTCCTCGCCAATAAGGAATTTGTCATTTAGATACGCTTTAACAGCTGTAGAAAAACGTGTAGACTTGTGCTTTTTTAATGCCCATCCCATGGTGATATTGCTAACCCTCTTTCCACTCTGCTCAGACTCACTTGGATAATTAGCCCCGAAAAGTGGCTTTGATAGTACGTCATTTACCACATCAGCATAGCGACGCCTTATGTAGTCAAACTGAGACTCTCTGTGTAAGCGACGGACGTGATTTCCGACATCCAGGTGCCTCTGGAGCACTGTTTCAGAATCAAAAGAGCAAGTGCACCCGTCAGTAGGACACTCAAATAATGCATCACTTTCAACGTTTTCAGTACCTGTAGGTGTGGCCTTTTCCTCTTCATTGTGTTTGAACTCCTTGCAATTGTTCCGCTGGAAAGGCATGCTTCCGGAAAGGCCTGTACTACCTTAACCTTTAACCTTAACCTTAACTCGGCTGATTTTTCCCTGAAGTGCAGTGGCAAAAATTTCATCGCCCAATCGTCCACCAAAAGGGCTTCAGTAGGTTCTAACTTATCGAGGACTTCCTTCTTTCCCTCTTCTTGATTCACACTTCTCAAAATGTGAGCTTTCCATTGTTCTATCTTGTCTTTACTGTCATCCAGCAGGAAACGAAGATCACATATGTCGTCACTAGCCATGGGGCACCGCTCAGAAATCTTTCCTATTTCCTCCTCTAAAGAGAGAAATAGATCACGTAGTTCCTGGCATCTATCACACTCGATTAAGTGGCTATGTAAACAGCTCTGTATAAGTTGTTCTTCCTTGGGGTCACTTAGTGCAAAGAATCGACAATGGTCAGGAGACGCAGAGGAAATGTCACTCGTTGAATCGTTCACGACATGTGTGCTGTACTCCTGCTTTAGGTAACGTTTGCAGGACAAGGCCATTGAACGCAGCCTGTCAGCCTTACAATCGGGCATCCCTCCGTCATAGAGCTTGCTGATAATTTCTTCTAAATTTTCGAATGCCTCTGATCCTTCCGCCGTGTAGTTGTCCAGACCTTGAAGAGATTTTCTTGTCGAAGCTGGGCAGACTTCAAGAATTCTAAACAAAGTTCTTGTACTGGCCGGTTTAAAACCACTTTCGTCACAAATCGTCAAGTACTGTGCGATGATTCGAGCTGGGATCAATTTTCGTATTGGCTTTGGAATCACTAGTTCCACTCCACTTTCGAGTTTCATTTTGGAAGTACCGTATGCTGTGTCTTGTGAAATCATGTCGCTTGTTATGAACCTTAAAAAGTGGTCAACTTTGTCTTCACTGAGAAAGAACCTGTGAACTGGAGCTGTAGGNCACGACATGTGTGCTGTACTCCTGCTTTAGGTAACGTTTGCAGGACAAGGCCATTGAACGCAGCCTGTCAGCCTTACAATCGGGCATCCCTCCGTCATAGAGCTTGCTGATAATTTCTTCTAAATTTTCGAATGCCTCTGATCCTTCCGCCGTGTAGTTGTCCAGACCTTGAAGAGATTTTCTTGTCGAAGCTGGGCAGACTTCAAGAATTCTAAACAAAGTTCTTGTACTGGCCGGTTTAAAACCACTTTCGTCACAAATCGTCAAGTACTGTGCGATGATTCGAGCTGGGATCAATTTTCGTATTGGCTTTGGAATCACTAGTTCCACTCCACTTTCGAGTTTCATTTTGGAAGTACCGTATGCTGTGTCTTGTGAAATCATGTCGCTTGTTATGAACCTTAAAAAGTGGTCAACTTTGTCTTCACTGAGAAAGAACCTGTGAACTGGAGCTGTAGGCACTGCAGTGCCTGGTCCATGTCTTTACAATGCTTCCTAGCCTCCTTTATACGAAAATCTGTCAGACCAGGAATTAGGTCTTTCAATTGCTTTCTCTTGAAATTTTGAGCAAATATTGACAAAATTTCTTTTCTCGATTTTGAAGACTGTGCATTGTTATAGGCATCAATAAGATTTCGTAAAGTGTTGTCCGAGAAGGTGTTAGGAGAAATTTCTCCATCTTCATCACAGTCGTTATCGCTGTTGCCAAGACCCGGTATTGAACTGTTTTTCAAGTAATTCCAAAGCTCTTCACCTTGGCCAGGGGCAACTGATTCCAACACTGGTCTAACTCCTTGTTTAGCGAACGACGCATAATAATGTTTAGTACGACGATGCAAGTCTTTCCGCTCTTTCATCAGAACAGAATCTAGATGTCTAAATGGCTCACTTATCCCAGTCGCTTCATGTAATTTGTACACATACTGGCTGTAGGCAGTTTTTACTCTCGCTGGTGTAAGTGGTTATTTGTAATCTTCATCACTAATTAAGGAATTGTTCATACCAGAAGGGCTGCTAAACATCTCAGGTGGAATAGGGAACCTTTTACGGGGTGGGTTGCTCTTAGCTGCAATATTCTCTGAAGTTGCCTGCTGTGAAGACTGAAATTGTTTCAGATGCCAAGCGTGCTTTTCCCGACACTGACGTCACACACCTAATATGCATACAAAGTACGTGTAAAAGATTCATACTTCATATTAACAGACCAAAAAGCCATAAGGGTAGCGGTACATGCTTCGTTGACGCTACCTTTTATTCAGTAAATAATAGCACACTTTCATGAGAAACCTTATTTTCAGTAATGTTATCTCCTCGCGCGATCTGTACTGTTTGCATTACCGGGCCAACAAACGAACAAATAAACAGCTCAGTAATGAGTTCAGATGACCCTTTCCCACTCATTTTGATGAACATAGGCAAACCCCTAAAATTCTAAACAAACCGAACGCACGAACAAAACCAATTGCTCAAAATTGCCATGAAAGTGGGGGAAGGAATGAAAACCTCTTTTAACAGCTAAGATTTTGACAAATAAGAGAGAGCATCATATCCCTCTCCTTCTCCCTTCCATACCTATTCATACTAAATATTGCGCATCCTGTAATAACATGTAAATATTTTTATAAATAATGTCAGTACTCACGTAGGTAAAACCCACGGAGGAATTGTAAAAGGTTTGGGTTGGGTTGCTTTGCTGGGGGTCTAGTAACCAGGAATGCAAAACCAGATGAGATACGACTTGTTATATTTCTATGTGGTCTCAACGTTCAGACCGAGTTCCCTAGCAGATAACACGACTTCTCACTGCCCTAACTGGAGATCAGAAACCGCATAACATCTCCTTGCTTCCATAGGAGATAAGAGGCAAAATGCCAAACAAATACTGAAAAAGGCAGACTGTCAGACTGTGACGGCTAGACCACGTGGTCTCATGTTTGACCCCAGTCCCTTAAAAGATAGCCCAACACGACTTGAAATTGATGAAGGCAGAAGTGTTTATACCCAGCCACCACCCTATTCCCCTTACAGACCACGACAACATCCAGTAGAAAACACCCTTATAACATAAATTTATAAAAAGTAGTGCCCTCCCCCCACCCATTATGTGTGTGAAGAATGTAGCTGAAGAAAGAAAGTAAGTTAGGGGGAGGCGTCGTGTTGTGAGTGTACTGACAGTAATCAGTGTGAGGGCAAAGGGAAGTATTTGATCTGTTTCCCCCTGGGTGCTGGTTTATCCTGTGCAACTTTTAGGCACTATAGCACGAGGCAATTTTTCTTGCAACTTGACTCGCACTGAAGTGAACCTGACGTCGAATGACGACTGGAACATTTCTCGGTTTTATAGCAAGCCTTGCACGAAGCAGAATCAAGGCCTCTTTTTTTGCAACGCTGTAACAATACTTTACGTGTCGTCCAGGGATGTTACACTAAGTAACGACTCCTGTGACTTGTCGCAACGGCGCAACAAGAATGCGGGACACGTTACACGAAACATTGGCAAGTGCATCAGCGCCGAACAAATATAAACAGATTAATGACAAGATATTACTTGAAACACTTACGAGATCCAATAATACGGTGTAAACCATACATTAACATGATTTCTTTTGCCATATCTGGTATGATGTATCTATCAGGAATTGAAACCTTTCGCTTCTGAGTACTTTGAGTGTGTTCGGGATGACAGCAAGCGGTGGATGGTCTCCAGTGTTGGGCAAGCTCGAAGCGGTGTGCCGGACATATTGTCATAACATTTTTTTGTTCATCATTTACATCTTGAATGCCTAAAATTATAATGTGTTAATAGTGATGCTTATTTCGCATATAATGCAATTCATTAGGCATGTTATGTTTAAACAGTTACCTGCTCTGTTTAGAAGTAAATCTTTTTCCTGAATTTTCCATGTTTCATGTTGAGGGGTTAAAGTCTCCAGCGAAGTCAGCAGAAGTTTGCTGTTTTCTTCTCTCACTTGTCGATTGTCACAAGGAATTGAGCTTGCCGCTCGCGCAAATGATCAAAACATATCTTTCCTGCATTCACCGAGGCATCGTTGAAAAATATATGGATCTAAATAATTTCTCGTCCATATGCTACTGCTCCGTTAGAAAATATCTTACAAATGGCTTCAAGTAACATCTCCCTTTTATCAAATGTGCCATTCGGCCGTAGCCAATAAGAGATCTCTGTTCCCACGCTTTATAACCGCGGCTCAAGCGCTGTAAGTCTGCAATGTTAGCCGGTTACAAGGAGGATTCATACCATTCCTGGATCCATCCTTAGTAAATATGCACAAAATATCGAGAAAGGACTGAAAATTTCAAAGGATTAATTAAAAGCCCCAGCCATAAGTTTCGTGAAGATGCGGTGTCTGTTGAATCGAACAATACTCACTTTCTGATTTCGTTGTTTGAAAACTTTTTGAAGGACATCCTTAAAAGTGCGCCGTACCTTTTTGGCACGCTTATTAACGAAAGGGTCGTTAAGTACCTAAGATGACTAAGAATGTCCCTTACTTTTAGGTCTAGCTACCCGTTACAGCGAAATAATGATACTCTACAGCAATGAAGTAAACATCGTTTTATTTTGTGTCACGCAACTTGAAACTGGCTAAATAGACTAAACGTACTCACAAAAAGATCTTAGAAAACAAAATTGCCCAAACATTTTCCTTTCCTATTTCAATATATAGCTCATTACCTTTGTCACAGAGTATAAGTTTTATCAATAGAATCCTGGAATGCATAATTCAAAGATTTTTAAAAACACCGCTTTTATGGCAAAACACTCCTACGAACTAGGGCAGGTTATTCCCGAAGACTATTAAAATGAAATTCAACAGAAACAGAATTAATTTTTAAATAACCTTAAAGAGTTTGTATAGTTCTTCACTGGTACTAACTTTATTTTGATTCGCTACGTCTTGGAGTTGTGAAATACATGTTTAAAAAATGTCAATATTTGCTTTTCTGTAGCGATAACTTGCCGGCAATTTGGGCTTGACCTTTGACCTTACCTTGTTTTGTCAAGGAAAGGTTTGATGAATCTAAAACTGTGTCATATTAACGACCATAAGAAGTAGTTTAATCACACCAGTTTTCGTCGAAATCGGTTATTTTCATTTTCATGCCTCTGGTCGGCGCACTGTGACAAATGCACTTAAACTTTGGGTTTTACTGGAAATACCTCTATAAAATTCCCTCCCCTCGCTTTCAAGACTGCGCCCGCTTGAAATGACTAATCATAAATCAAATGGTATACTCTCTGGCAATTGGTGGTGCTTTTGCTGGTAATTTCAACGTGCACCTTATCTTTATGTGAGTTGCAAGTTACAATTTTAAGTATTAAATTAAACACAACATGTATTTTTCAAAACATCTCACTTCAAAGCACTCCTTTCCGCAACTGTCGCTCGAACCATACCTCGCAGTTTACAATGTGCTGTTTTTTTTATTTTCATAGCCGGGGACGAAGAATCGGTTCTAAAGGAAAAACTACATGCCTGCGGAGAAGGCACAGAAGAATTGTTGGAAAGCCTAAAGGAAGTTCAAGGCAAGTTCGCTGACTATACTGTACGACTAACCATAGATTCCAACTAACTTCGACTTACTTTCAGTACAAAAAAACACAAAACAGCTATGGGCTTCTGTTCAGTTGTAGCAGAAATTGTTATGCAAAAGATCGAGGAACAAGCCCTAGCTACTTATAAACAAACTATAGGTCTTTGGTTACGCTACGTTGATAACACTTTTACGACCGCTGTGCACTAAGACGAGGTCGACGATTTCACGAGCACCATCGATATAGCCTGAGTATCAGGCGTTTCTGGGAGAAAAGGGGAAAGATAGAGGCGAAAAAGGAAGAGAGCTGAAAGAAAACATACAGTTTACCACGGAGTTCTGGGAAAAATTATAGTAAATTATAGTTGTTTTGCTCGTCGCGATTCCGTAAGGTCTCTATGGATACCACGACGGGGACGACAAGGAGAACGTCAACAAAGCAATTGGTTGAACATAGTCAAGCAAAAAAACAACTCTGCACGTGCATCACGCTTTCTTGTACATTTCTTTGCCGTCACTGCACGACTACGACGGGAAAATGCTTAATTTCACGTTTTATGGAGGACGTAAACAAGCGACGGGTAAATTTTCTTTCCCTTTCTGATCTTGAATATGCCGTTCTTAGGAATTCGGCTCAAACAGAGTCGCTTGCATTTGATAAAGTTAATGAGTTGAAGTAATTGCGATAGAGATTGAAAAAACGCAAATTCACCTCCGTGGCCGTCGCCGTCGTGGTATCTTTTAAAAACTCCCTTGGATCTGATGTTTGCGGCGGAGATTCGCTTTTGCGTTTTGGTGGCAAAACGCGGTATGGCACTGATATGCGATCATCAGCACTGACTAAAAACGACGTTCTCCAGAATGGGATACAAGCTGCAGATATAGGTTCCTGTTTTAATTCCGGTCCTAGTTCGGGCCGGCCTATCCAAAGGTCTCAATCACGTTAACCGTCAGCCGTCGAAAAAGGTTATTTCTTCAGCGTCGATCGTCAAAATTTCAGGTTAATATTAACCGTAAAAAAGTTTCAAGGTATTTTCAGCTGATCGTCATGGACTTCTGGCCCCTGAAGAAATCTCTAAACTTGAAAAACTAGTTACCGTGTAATATCAAACAAAATTTCTCTAGAGATTTCTTGACCTTAAAACTTGCTTATATCTGTGAAAATCTGATTAAGTATATACAGTGAAAGGCTAAGACAACCTCCAAAACACAATGGTTAATATCAAATTATATAGAAGTTAAAGAAATTCACCGATTTGTTTCTTACTAGCCCTACATATGTTTCAGATGTTTACATGGAAAAATCGTCAATCTCGTAAGAACGAAACAGATTTGTAAAAGTGAAAAAAAAAGTAATTCACATGTTTTCCGTTAATATTTACTTACACTCTTTGATTCCTTCTTAATAACCGCCAAAAGCTCTTAAACTTAACTGTCAATCGTCAGAATTGAAAAAAAAAATAATAAAAATAATAAAATGAGTAAAAATAACCGTCAAAGCTATCACCCCATTGAGACACTCCTATACGTTCCAAGATTTTCTGGTTTCAAATTCCAGAGAAGGAGCTTATGGTGTGGCACCTAGTAGTAAAAGACATTGCTTGTTCTACACAGCAGTCTTCCAAGACTGAGAGCAATTTTGTGTATTGGAATGCGCCTCATCTTATCTTTAACTCTGTCTCGGAACCACAATTGTTACAACCGAATGTCCTCGGACGGCAAATACCTTAAATGACGCCCACTTCCAAATAAATGCACCTTATCTAATAAACGCCACCTCTACGCTGTTAAAATTGTATTGGACGCTCCTCTCTAATAACCGTCCCTCTTGTCTAATAGACGTCTTCTATGAAAACTACTTCAAACTAGTAGGAATTAGAAGCAAAATCATTTAATGTAAAACTATATAGTTTCTAACTTGATTAACCACAGGCAGCCCAGACGTAGTGTGTGTCAATATATTAATTTCACAAGTAATTAATATTTGCAAGTACCTACGATTGTAAAACTCCACAAAATGCCACTTTAACCGGCCAGGACAGCCAAAGAGACGTTCAGTTAAAGGTATCTTAGCTTTGTTTTGTTAGCTTTGACTTTTGGACTATCTTAGTTCATGGGAGTTTCGACGACTCATCCCATTTTGTCCATGTGCCGAGTATTAATATATTCATTTTGACACACACTACGTCTGGGCCGCCTGTGGATTAACAAGGCTGCGTATTTCACGCATCGTTTAAAGCAAGGATAGACTGACAATGGCAACACAATAACCCTGAGGATGCTTACATCGATGCTGGGATTTGAAAGAGCGATATGGATCTCTTAAAGGTATCAATGGATGGAGTAAATATTCCGCTATTTTTAAACTCCCTTGATATTGCTGCCCAAAGGATATTAGTTTTGTTAATCTTGTTAAAGCAATGAGCGTAAAATCTTTTCTCTTTTAAACGCCTCCTATCTATCCCGCTTGGGGAGGAGTAGCTGTAGTCAGTTACCCAGAAACCTCAAATGCCCTTTCCCTCTTTAAGGTGATTCATATCTTGTCATTTTGTAGCGGAGGCTAGAGGCAGTATAGAAAACTTGAAGAGGGCATGCCGGAGTCTTCAGAATTTAACACAGAATGTTTTGGACGAAGAAAAGGAGATGCAGGAGCTAATAAGTAAGGCGCAACTATCGAACGTACCCACAAAGAGGTTTTCTTCTCATGTGAGGTGGGATTTTCGTAAGGTCGAAGGTTAACCCCTGGGCATTATAACTCTTGTTCCAAACTGGAAACCGCGTCTCTGGTACCCAGAGTCGTACTTTTGAAAGTGTTTATAGATCCCAGATGGTCGTCATCCCCTCCCACCTTACCTTTATTAAATAAATAGTTCTGTATGTTCTTTTTCGTGCAGTTTAAGGGATTCTACGGGTGGAGGATCGAGGCGAAGTGTCTTGGGGTTCGGACCTCGCTTTATAGCACCCATTAGTTAATAGATTATTTTGCAAAATTGGTGCAAAAAGGATGACATACAACATTCTGGAGGTGTTAAAAAAAAAACCCAGTGCGAAACACTTCCTCTTATCACGCGCTTTGCCTCAAATAAAGTTTTTCAAGAACACATGTGAACATATTTACAAGGATGGACATTAATCAAGGGTAAACTAGTAGAGGACGGTAAAATAGTTCTAACCTTAACACAAGTTTGGAACCACTCTCCTGGATCCCCCACCGAGTGATTTGTATGTGTAATCAAATGGTGAATGGGAATAATTTCACGAGTATACCATTTGATTACCTATTAATATCATGGGTGACGAATTACGTTAGCAATCTTGGATTTTTGACATGTTTATCCTGGATCGTATCGATCGAGAACTCCACTCTCTCAAATGTTTAGACCTTAAATTTGGCTTATAAAGTTCATAATTTTTCAGACTTTTTCGGAAAAATACATGTTAGAATCCTTCTTGATGTTCTCTTGTGTGTTCAGATTTTCTAAAGCGTCTTTTTTTAAAACTTCGTCGCCATCTTGACACTGAGACGTACGGAAGGTTGCCGTGGCAATTTTGTAATTTCACATGTGAAATTACAAATTAACGCTGAAATTTCGCGCCAAAATTAAGGAGTAATTCGTCACCTATGATATTAAAGAACAAACATAAGCGTGTGATAAAAAAACTTTCTCATTTCTTTCAAATGGAAGATTTACTTCAGGAGCGTAAAATGAAATTAAGGAGAGCTTTGTCAGAGAATGAGAATGTGGACGCGTTCGTTGAAGAACTGAGAGGTATGTACTGACAGATGTCGCTTTTGGATAGTTGTGATAGTTACACACCATTCTTTTACAGGCTTACTAACGATAGTTAGGAGGGGAGACAAATTTCACAAATTTTGCCTTTTACCTTTTTGAGAGCCCTTCAGGCCTAGGCCAAACGTCGAACTTTTCATGAGACGAACCAAACTTAGTGAGTTATGTTCATGAAAAGTTCGACGTCTGGCTCAGTTAAGTTCACCTGAATGAGTTTGGATCGTCCAAGTCTGAAGATCGTCTCCGGTACAGACGTCCATTTTCACATGTGACGAACTAAACTAATAAATAAAAAATTTGTATGATAATGTATAGTTAGCTTCGTTCGGTCGCGTCTTGGTCTGTATCAGTTAATTGGTTCGATCGACGCGTCGACGTCGAAGTTCGACTTCTGACCCAACAGACCATCTGACTTAGGTCGACCCAGAGGGAAAGATCTATTGTTAGGGCACTTACCATATTGCAAAGACATAATAATTCTTTTGCACCAACTAATTCTTGAAAGGTACGCCGTGAGCTTCCAGAACCCATCTGGATCCCTTTTTTCATCAGTGACGTTTGCTGTTACAGTACTTCAGTCAGTCTTGTTTTGATGAGGCCGCAAAATTCATGCTCGGTGAACGACAATGAACTTTGATCAGGGCTCGTACCACCTTCCCCCAATTTATGCCGGAACAATTCAGTTTGCAGCCTAATCAAAACGGGAAAACGAATAACAGTAAATGTCACTGATAAAGGGATCCGGATGGGTTTCGAAAGCTCTGCGTAACCTTCCAGAATCTGTTGGTTTTAAAGTATATTTGTTTTACTTGTAAAATACCTTTTGGGGTGTTGACTATTTGCCTGCAGTTTCAAATAAGCATGGAAAAGGTGTGGATAACAATGGACGCCCGTTGTTCAAGAGGGTTACAGGTATGGAAAACGCGCACAAACCAAACATTTGTTCTTATTTCGATTCAGAATCGATATTATCAGTGGAATACCTTAACTTGTAATGCTCCCAATTAGAGAATTCCGTGGGTAGATCATTATATGAATTTGGCGATGTTAGGGAATATATATATATAAGAAAATAGATGGAGAGCGGAAAGTAATATTTATAGCATTGTAAAAAAACCCCGCAAAATAAACGCCTTGAAATAGTTCATTTGGCCGGATTGCATGCCTAAGACTAGAAAATTTGGACAATAAATGAGAATGTCATGCGGCACAAGAAGACTTCTACTAAATGATATTAATATTCATTTAGAGCAATCATAGTTTGCAGAATGAGCTCTTATGTCACGCCTTAAACTGCTCATTGAATCTCAATCGCTCAATTTCCTTATAAAGACATATGATTTAAAGATAAAATTAAAATTCGTTTCTTCCCTCCAGGTCGACTGCTCGAATTGACCAGAAAAACCAAAAAGAAGAAAAAGAAAATGCAAAATCGACAAAAATCGACGCCGGACCAAAGTGATTTGTTTTCACTGGATGATACAGGTGATGTATACTTCAGTCAGATCTTTTTTTCGAGTTGAATATTAAAGTCATTGGAAGCTATCGTTTCAAAATATATAGCAATCATTATCATTATCACTTTTGTTATAGTTTTTTTCAATATCGTTATCTCGGTCATTGCCATTATTGTTATCGCTATATACATCATCATTATCATCGTTGCCACTATCGTTATCGTAATTGTTATCTTAGATCTACCCGGCGTTATCATTACGGCTGTCATCATTGTCGTTATACACTGCTGTTGTTGTTATCATTTAAATGTTATCGTTATCATAAAATCCGTGGCAAAAATCCACCAGGGGTTAGTTTGAGAAAACTTGTACAAGTGTAGTTATTGTGTACAGTATCTAAAACAATGGCTACACTTATTAATTACACTTGTAAAAGTTTCATAAAATTGCTTCCAGAAGTAGCTGAGACTAATTGTCTTGTACAACCGTACAACCTTTAATCGTTCACTTGAGCTCTTGCCAAAATGCCGATACATGATCATAAGTTCAGTTTTCTTCGTTATTAGAAGGAGAGATGCCAAGTTTAAATGATTCCGAGGAATACATCGCCCAGGCAGAAGATCGTAGAGCAGAGCACAGGCCTCCCAGGCGACAGCTAGGCAACAATGGGGCAGGAATTGGTAAGAAGGAGAAGAAAACCTTTTTTAAAAAAGTTTAATCTAAGCCAAGAACTGAACAAAGACGTTCCTAATGAGCAGGGTTCTTTTTTTTTTAAACAAAATTCGGTGTGCACAATATTTTGTAGAACACCTCTTTGTCCAATATTATTTTGTGTTTTGCATGATCATGAGTTCAGTTTTCTTCGTTATTAGAAGCAGAGATGCCAAGTTTTAAAAATTTCAATGATTCTGCGGAATACATCTCCCGAGCAGAAGATCGTAGAGCTGAGCACCGGCATCCCAGGCGAAAGCTAGGCAACTATGGGGAAGGATTTGGTAAGGAAAAAAACCCTTTCTTGAAAGTTGAATCTAAACCGAGAACAAAGACGTTCCTAATGAGCAGTGTTATATTTTTCTTATCAAAATTTAGTGTGCAAGACTTTTGTTGTAGACTCTCCCTCTTTATCCAATATTGGTTTTCATTAAATAAAATCGTTGGATGTCCTTTCGGAGTCTTTTTGTTTTGTCTCTTTATATGGTGTAAGTTTTTTTTTAAATTTACAACTTTCTTCATTATTGCCTTATTTCCCATACTTCCTACATCTTGCCGTTTCACCGAAATGCTTCGCGAGGTCCTAATCTTAGATCTTTCGTTATCATTGTGCCTGTCATCACTGTGGTTATCACTATTGTTGTTGTTATAGTAAAACCCGGGAAAAAATTCACCAGAACTAGCTGAGGTAATGTCCATAGGCGTACGGGCCGGAGGGGCGAGGGGGGCTGTAGCCCCCCAAAGTTTTGGCAACTCAGATTTTTTGGGCAGCGAGAGGAAATTTGGGCAAAGCCAGTTTTTAAAGGACGTCTCCATGTTCATTTAATTATTTTAAAGACCTGAATATTAACCTGAAGTAGGCGTAATAATCCAGTTACATTACAGTGGTTGCTTAGCATGTGATGAGTAATTTACATATTTGCAGTTTTTTTTTTTTTTATGGGCACTATACTGCACTGCACTAGCTGGAATGGGCTATTTCCAGTCGAGAATTGATTAAAATAAACTTTCGCATAACTTTCTAGAATCATCTCCACTCGAAGAACAGTGTATGGCAGATAGCATTTAGCAATGGGTATTGCCTGCATAGCAAGCGTTTCCGCGCGATTTCGACTGAAAACGCTTCAATGGGTATGAAAATGAAGAAGTGGCTGACTAATTCTCAGTTTGAATTACGAGAAGAATCTTAATTCTTTTAAAAAAATCTATCGAGCGGTTTCAAATTATTCGCTGATTTGATAAAGTAGACCGAAATGTTTACAAAACTGCTAACAAGAGTGTCTCGATACATACCAATCAAATCCTTCTTTCGATTCTAGCAATCAAGCAGAGCTATCTCCACGATCTTTCACACATGTTTTTAAAAAGATTAAAACTACTATGAGGTGAAATTGCAGGACAAAAGCGCTTCGTTTTCTACAGATAACGGCCAAAAATCAAGATTTTCCTTTTCTTACCGTATTTCTAATAATAAAAACTTCATTGCAAAATATCTCGATAGCGCTCCCAAGGTTTTGCTTAAACTTCACGAACATCGAGGCGAACGTATTGGAGAAAAAAGCTCCTGTAAACGATTTTGTAAGGTTCCCGTGCAGAGAATCATTGCTGAAGTAAAATTGGTAATGGAGTCATTTCGTTGCTATGACAACTCCGATGTCATTGCAACCCTGATAATGCCAAATTTTCATCTTAATACCACTGTGGTCGCAGTTTTTCTAAATGTTTGTTTATGGCGACGTAGTTTATGCTCAGACTTGGTATTGACCCTGAAAAACTGTATCGAGCCACCTTCATATGCCAGGACGGCCTATGTTGTTGCAATATGGCCCTCATTTCTTTTCGACTCTTTCGTAAAAATTTGGGCAACTCAGGAGATTTTTTGGGCAAATGGTTTACCGCCCCCCCCCCCACTGGCAAAAAATTTCCCGTACGCCTGTGGTAATGTCTTTTACAACCCAGCAAACTTTGATCGTTCACTTTAGATCGTTCTAAAATGCAAATGCAGGATCATAAGTTAACTTTGCTTCGTTCTAGAATCAAGGATTCCAAGGTTTGAAAAGTCCGATGATTCTGTGGAATATATCTCCCAAGCAGAAGATCCTGAATTAGAGCACCGGTCTCCCATGCGAAAGCTTTGCAACTGCAGTGGGGCAAGATTTGGTGAGAATTAAGGAGAAAAAACCTATTTTGTACTGTGGAAACCATGCTGAACTGTCTAGTTTTTTTTCCTTATAGTGTTAAGGTTTTATGTAAATTTGGACATTTCTTAACGATTGTATACCAGTCCAAAGCTTCTTGCTTCTGATCTTATTGTAAGTAATTTAGCTATTCGTGAGAATATGCTAAATAAACCTGGGGTCAATTTAATAAAACTTTTACACGTGTAATTCACAAGTATAACTATTGTTCTCAGACTCTAAAACAACGGCTACACTTGTAAAAGTTTTATTAAATTGACCCCTGTTTACTTTACAATCGATGGCTCTCCCTTGCCTTTCTACTTACTTGATTATAATATTTGTCCGTTTTTATTATCGGTTTAAGCTGGTTTACGTTTGATATTGTACCTTTAAAGTTTCAGGAATCTTCAAAAGCCTGC